TTTTTATCTAATTTATTTATTTTAATATAATTTGTATTATATATATATATATATAATTTTATCGTTTATTTAACTTATTATTATTTATTTATTTACTTTGAAATCTTATTTTTAAATCTTATTGTTGATTTGTTTTACGTTCTTTTTGATTTTTTAAATCTAATTTATTTGTCTTAATATAATTTTAATAATTATTAATAATGATAAATAATAATAATTTTATAAAACAAAATAATAATTTAATATAGCTACTGCTACTACTACTACTACCGCACACGCACGCACGCACACACGCACGCACACACACACACACACACACACACACACAATTTGGCTATTCATTAAGGGTTATAATAGGCTGTATCTGCTCCATTTGATGAAGCGTAATAGAGCTTTGGCATATGTTGTGAATGAATCGATTAGACACGAACCAGACTTTTGGCAAGATTATTCCAAAAATATGTGTGCTGTGCGTAATCGCTTGTCCACAGCACCATCTAGTGGTTTCATGCCAGTAGTGTGGCGTGATGACGTCCAGCAGCTCTCCAATGCAGTAACCCCTCACTGCAGAACAAAGATCCAGGGGGCGGGGTTGGATCCACATCTAGGGGGTGGAGATGGGTGAGATTGGTAGGTTTAGGGGTGGAGATGGGTGGGTTTTGGAATCAGGGGGTGGAGACGGGTAGGTTTAGGAATATGTAAGGTGGGAGGAGTTGGATCTGGATCCAACCACGCCCCCTGGATCTTGTGTTCTGCTGTGAGGACCATCTCCTCCAATGAGCAGCACACGCAACTGGAAATGTTGAGTGAGAGTTCTTTTAGTATGGCCAATACTGTTGACTATTCTACTGTTCTAATTATTATGATTTGTAGCGTTGGCACTATAATATACCGGTCTACATTATTATTATACTGTGTGTTTGTATTCTGAACTATTTTTCAACAAAACCTCAGGATCTTTCAAAGAATAATTGAATGAAATAATAATGTAATATATAATAGGCCTATAGGCATATAATAGGCTACAATATATATATATATATATATATATATATATATATATAGTTTCACATCGTTAATCAAGCTTTCTGCTGTGCCATTTACATTCTCTAATTTTGGGTGATATTTCACGGTTTCGACACACTTTTCTCTCACACTTTTGTTACACTTTGGTAATCTTTTTAACATTCTGATTTTCTACTCCAATGCTTCAGTAAGTGCAGTCGATTGGATAGATTTTTACTTTAAGGCGGTTTTTTTATTTGTATAAATATGTAGGCTATGTTATCGGATACCTTCACAAATTTAAGACCAAGAAACGACCCGGACAGCGACATTTTATTTATGTCTTTAATATTTTAGCACCATTTTCAAATGTCACTTGGCTAATACTGTCCACTTTATTTTAGATTGGCGGAACAGCATTTACAAAAGAAATGCTCGAAGCAGAAAATAAAAGGTCCATATGAACAGTGACACTGAATAAATGGCACATTAGAAAGAACTTTGTGAAGTTTGAAAATGAATATAATTCCGACAAAGAGATAAATACAATAGAATACAATATTATATCAGGAATCACCGTCTTTAATGCTGTATTTCAACAAGACAACACAACACAACACTTCTACATATAGTAGAACCTTTTCTTTTCTTTTCTGTTATTTATTTGCAACAGGTAAACAACTGGAGGTGTTCCTACTCTTAAAGGTAGGCTAGTTAACCCAAAAAATATGTATTCAACCCCACTCACTCTCATGTCATCTAAATCCGTATGAATTTCTTTCTTCCGTGGAACACAAAATAATACAGGCCTATTCTGAATAATTTTGGTAACCAAACCATTTCGGTACCCATTGACTTTCATTGTAAGAACAAAAAAACAAAAACAACAACAACAACAACAACAACAACAACAACAACAACACAGACATTTCTCAAAATGCCCTCTATTATGTTTCACCGAAAAAAAGGTTTGGAATACATGTGGGTGAGAAAATGATGATTGAATGTTTATTTTTAGGTATATAAACCTAAAACCCGTTAACCAATGTACTGGTGCAACATGCCTCTATGTAGAGTCTGAAAGCATTTAGTAATCGGAATCAGTGTGTTGTCAGATTGAAGGATATTGTTATTGTTGGTCATCACGCTATAGTAAAAAGGCAATTAAGTACATTTTTTCTGAAGTATCGTGAGCCGTAAAACCAACGTGTTTCCTGAGCATGTCTCCCGTGTTTACAGACAAGCTTATACAATGCCAGAGTTTGTGTGGCTGTGGGAACCATTTGCAAGAGTCGCTGTCCATGGTTCTGAAGCAATTATAACCACCAGAATTCCTCAGTCTGATTGAAATGATATCAATTCAATCAGCTTGCCAAATTATTGCTGGATGCTAAGAAATTCGGTCCAAATATTTCTGACTAAGAGATTGCATATACACCGCATCTCTGTTTTTATTTTGTTCTGATTTTTGAAATTTCGTTCTATCTATAACAAAGTACTAGTGATTGACATATTCATGTTCAGTAGCTAGTTTAAGTGGGAGCTGGTCGAGATGCTTCATTTTAAGGCTGTCGTTGGAGGCATCAAAATAACAATTTAACCGGTCATAGATTTAACATTTTCGAATGAAAGATGCATACTACAAATATGTAAAAGATATAGATTTCTTTAAACTTTAACCCCTTTTTGTAATTGCATTACACATCAATTCGTGCAAATCGTCCAAAACAGGCAAACATTAAACAATATTTATAATTTTGTAATTTAAAGGTATTTGGTCTGAAGCGTTCATTGCACTGCATTCATTTTCATGTTGCCTTATTATTGATGATTATCATCTTCCTCATCATCATTATTGAGAACAAATAAATAATAATTGTTTAAACGTATAAACTGCATAAAGTCAGTGTGTACATCGTCACACTGTACACTGTACACACACAATACATCGTCACACTGCAGTGCGTTTTGTAGTCTTTTTTACAAATTGTAAAACAATAAATAGAATTAATCAACCAAGCAAATTTTTTTTACCCGTAACTCAGCTGTAAAAAAAGTAGGATAAAGAAAAAAGTAGGAGCAATATGAGCCTTCACGGTTTAATAAAGAACCAGATTTAATTTTTAAATCCCAAACATATATCGTTGTAAAAAGTCGTGTTTTTAATTTTTTTACTCATTTGTTTAATCTAACGCTCTATAATGTCGTAAAATCAAGTTGGTTAACTCACTTCTCTCGTTTCATTTTTGTGAAGTCTAGCGGAATTCCTTGTCATCATAATTCTGAACACTAGAGGGAGCCTGGAGCACGGCACATTGCTTTTTGCTCCCTGAATCTCCCAAACTCCGCGATTCCTTGTCCACATCAGAAACCTCTTTAATGACTCCAGTGTTTATCCTCTTATCCAGCGTATATAATTAACATCTATTATTAATTGTAACATGTTTATCCCGTTTATTTTAACGCATTAATGTAAATATTTTTCATAGGGCCTATTTTAGCTTGTATTTTAGCCTATTTTAAAAGTA